CAATTTGTAAAAATCTAATCGTTTAGCTACAATACTCCGTGTCGTATGTGGTGAACAACCCTGTATAATTTTAGAAAATGCTTTAAATTAACTTACATAAGCTCACAAAACTTTACTTCAATACAAACTGTTGTTCTCCTTGCAAAAACCGCGTGGTATATGAGGCGCCACCCTGTATAATTTGATTTCAATCAAAATTTCGATTTTTAGAATATAAGCAGAATAGGTATCTTAGAAAATATACTTAGAAAAAAAAAATTGAAAAAAAATTAAGAGGGAATTAACCAAAGATATTTAAAATGAGTTTAAATATCTTTGGAATTAACTAAGAACTTACTAAAATTACTAAAATAATAAAATAAAAGCAACGAAAAAAATGGGTAAACATTTTAGTATTTTATCTATAAAATACAATACAGAAGGTTTCACATTAATACTTTCACGGTAATTGAATTCCAAGATAAAAGTCAATATGTCCCCGGATTGTCTTTACAAGAGGATTTTTTTTATTATTGACATTTTGAGAAAAATGCATTGTTCATAAAAAAATTTGCTTGTTCTAAAACGGTTAATCCCTTTTATACTTTTCCAAATTTCCATACCGTTTTAGAGAAAATTAAGAAAAACATATATGGTTTGGTTTGGTTTGGTCTAAAAATCAAAGGCGTTTAATATCAATTCAATTTCATACTTTGACAGATGTTTGATAGATTGTTATTTTTAATTTTGATTAACGTCATATTCTTTGCTGTTGTTAAAGTATCACATTTTCCGAAAACTATCAACACTCTTTCCGTAGCATTGTACTAAAATTGTAATAAAATGTACTAAATTGTAATAAATTTGTGCTTCTTTAATTGTATCCATAGAATAATTAATTGAAGTTGTATCCATAAAGAAAGCCTATATACCTTTTGATTTCTAACCACAATTTCTCTTGACGGAAGATAAATAATCAAAGGCCAAAATTACATTTCTCGCAAATTTTGAAGTATAATTAGTGGAAAAGTTAAAAGTTTGATAAATTTTTCTACTAATTGAAAATGTCTAGGTACCACTAATTTTGACGTTCTGAATGCTTACATTGAAATTAGCTTCATTTAGAACCTCCAAATTAGTGGAATTAATTAGTGGTTTCATTTAGCGTAAAAATTTGCTCCTCTAATATTAATGTAAGTATTCACAACGTCAAAATTAGTGGTAGAAATATTCAATTGGTGAAAAAAATTAACAAACTTTTAACTTTTCCACTAATTATACTTCAACTCTTACTGAATGAGGCTTAAAGCATCAATGAAGTTTTAAGCTACATTCAGAACCTCGAAATTAGTGGAATAAATTAGTGGTTTCAATTACACTTTATACTTTTTAGTTTACGATCATTCACAATGTTTAAAAAACACAGTTAGCATTAATAGAATATAGGCTTAAAACTTCAATGAAGCTTTAAGCTTCATTCAGAACCTCGCAATTAACCTCTTCCATGTGACGTCACGACAAATGTCGACTGCCAAAAAACAGCTGATTGGGATCATTGTTATCATGGCATAATATGTAAATTAGACGAGATTTATCAAATTGGAAGTATTATAGTGAGATATAAGTTGCTTTTTGGATATATTTATTACTATTAAGTGTTTTGGGTTGACTGTAATTAGTGCGTTTGTATCCACAAATAAAAATGTCGTAAAAATGACTCGTTCTTGTGCCGTGTATGGGTGTTCTAATAGGAGCAATCGGGAAAAGAATAAGAAATTCTTTGGTTTTCCCGGCATAAAAGACAGGAGAGGTCGTGATTTACCGGAAGGTAAAAATAGAAGGACCCTTTGGCTAAAGGCAATTCATCGCGAAGACTTAACGGAGGAAAAATTACGATATGCAGCTGTATGTTCATACCATTTCATAACAGGTCAAGTCTACATTTATGTTTATGTGTTATGTGAGAAGTATTGAAAAGTGCATGTTTTATATGCTATCCATCTCCAGAGATCCGGATTATGTTCCAACCCAGAAGCTGGGATATGTAACAAGCTCCTTAGTTCAGACTACTGCTGTTGATAGATACAACAGGACAACGAAAAGGCTGCGAGGGAGCAGTTTACAGGTACAGTACGTCTGCTGGATCTGGGTCTACGAAAGGAATGCGGACAAAAAACATTTAAATAAACAACAATATATTTTATACGTCGACTTGACGAGCAGTAGCGTGTCGTGGATAAAAGGGCGGAGGGGGCGAAGACCTTAAGGGGCGCAATGATCAATAAAGGATCAAATAAATTACAAACTTTTTTTAAATAATAAGACTACATGAAAACTTTTATTTTTTTTAATTATAAATTTGTTTATTAAAAAAGTTAGTATACAAAACAGTTATTTCAAAGATGAAAGCGTCTTGTTTTAACCGATTTAAAAGAATCAATTATTTCGTCTATATTTAGATACTGGGCTGTATCTGCTTCAATACTGAGAAGTGATAAATAATTGGTTCTATCTTGTGTGCTGGTGCACCTCTGGTAATTATTAATTCTCCCTAATCTACTGAAAGATCGTTCTGCACCAGCACTGTTGGTGGCTATAGTGTAAAAATCCTCAGTAATGCACATAAAGATGGATATGAAGACTCTGGTCAATGGAAATGATAAATATTCATCAGGTGCAAGTTTGTTATCATCAGCATTAATTTCTTCTAATAAACTGCACAAAAATGTTTATATTCCTCAATTAAAGAAGGTTTAACATCCGCTTGGTACAATATCTGTAGATCCATTTTAAAAGAAGACATTTTAAATTGTCATCATTGACGTTCATATCCAATAAACAATTAAATTTTTGGCATATATTAAGGAAGTCTTCAAACCGAGTAGTTCTAGAGTACCAGTTAAAATGTCTAAAGTACCATAAAACACTGATTTCTTGAAATTATCTTCAGAATTTTGATGTAAGTAATTATTCTGGATTTTATCGTGATTTTTTTTATTCTTCATTTTCTTTTTGTGGAAAATGATGTTGACGTATTGCATTTATTTGCCAAAATAGTAGCCTGTTTTTTAAAATTTTCAAAATATTTTTCACTTCTTAATGATTTGAGATCTTTAGTTACCGCAGTAATCATATGAGCAGCTGTACAGGGTGGGTCAAATTCGACGCTTTTAAATAGAAACACCCTTTTCTATAGGAGATAGACGAAAACTAATATCGGTGTCTGGAACTCAATTTTCATCAAAAACATGATGGTGAAAACCGCACATCAATATCTGTTACCGTTTCGGAGTTACGGGGTGTTTTTCAAAAATGTGCTTTTTTAACAAATCGTTGTAACTTTTTTGCTATCGAAAATTTTGTATTTCTATAAAAACATTTCCAAAGCACCTTTTTACCTAGAATTTTATGGTTTAAGTATAATTTTTTTAAAATTAATAATTTAAGAGTTATCAACAGAAAAATTGATTTTTTCCAATAATATAGCACACTTGATATTTTGTTATACCTTCGAAATACAGAATTTTTAAAAGTTCGCCACTTTTAACTAGTAGGCTTTGGACCCTTTATTGATGATATGCCCTTAATGGAACTCGAAAACATATTTTTCCAGCAAGACGACGCACCGCCTCTGATCGCTGAAGTTATCAGCAAATTTTTGCATCCAATTTCAAGAATAATTGAATAGCCAACCAAGATTCCAACCGTTGGCCGTCGAGGCCGCCTGACTTAGTGCCCATGGATCTAATCCTATCGATTTGCGGAAAAATAAAGGTTCCTTATTCTTCCGTATAATCTAGACAAGAATTAGAAATACTTAGCAGTTATGAGAGGGTATCTTTCACCCCCACTGAGTTAATGAATTCCGCGAGAAATGTTAAAAAACTGCCCCGTCTGTCCATAACAGAAGACGGTTGATATGTCGAACATCTATCTATAGCAAAATCTCATGTCTTGGTTTGCTATTTATTTTTCTTGTTATTAGATATAGTTTAAATGTGTTGATGTTGATTAAATATATTTTAAATATTTATAAAATTCTGCATCTCTCATAGCAAATATTATTTTCGTTTTAATTGATGCTCACAGCTAGATTTTTTTGCATTACAGCCGGTGCCGTTCAAAGCTTACTCATTTAAAGCGGGCGAATTTTTATATACTCTATATCTCGAAGAGGAATCGAGCAAAATATCAAGTGTGTTATATTTTTGGAAAGGTAATTTTAAATTATTTTCAATAAATTAAAAATATACAGGATGTTTCATATAAAAAATCAAATTTTCTGTTGATAATTCTTAAATTATTAATTTTAAAAAAATTATACTTAAACCATTAAATTCTAGGTAAAAAGGTGATTTGGAAATGTTTTCATAAAAATACAAAAATTTCCATAACAAAAAAGTTACAGCGATTTGTTAAAAGTGCATATTTTTGAAAAACACCCCGTAACTCCGAAACGGTAACAGATATCGATATGCGGTTTTCACTATCATGTTTTTGACAAAAATTGGAATTCAGCACTTCAAGAATTCAGCACTTCATTATAATCGATTATATTTCGGTCGGTGATTCCCCGAATTTATTTCCTTCGCGACTGCTTTCGTCTTCTTTTTTGGCGGCGCCGCGCCGGCGCCGGCGTTTCGTATCTTCGTATACGTCTACTTCATTAGAGATTTAAATTATTAAATATAAGTAAACATTAAAAAACAAAAATAAAATGTCAGAAATATATACGTAATAATTTATCTTGAAGAGCTAAGGGTAGGTACGGTAGGGCACCGTTTGTTTTTGTGTTAAATTTAGTTTTTCTATTTTTTTTTGAAAGAGCGCCAGAGGCGCTAAGCGCCTAGGGGCGGAGGGGGCATTCGCCCCCCCTGGCCCCCTATACGACACGCCACTGTTGACGAGTACGTCACCGCAAATCGCCCCGCACACTCATTTTATTGGCTACTTGCAAATTTGTCGAATTTTTATTGATGAGACGCGTCGTCTATTTTTTTACGAAAAACATCGAGAGAATATCGTTTCCCCTCTCACGGATACCCCGTAGCTATAGAACGGACAGACGTACTGTAACTACGAGTTATCCTGGTTAAAATAAGAAAAGTTCTTAGAAACGTATTTTAAATAACTATAATTTTTAATAAAGTATGTTGTAATAAATTGTTTTTAATAAAGTATGTTGTAAAGTTAACACACATGTTGTTCCACTATTTTTATATACCGCTAAAAATTCCTCCACATTCACATCCGGTATTTCAGGCATTATCTCTTCTTCAATAGGAATAATCTCTTCTTCTGCAAATGGTTGAAGTAAGTTCTCGGGTAGGCGGAACTCAATATCGATTATCTTTTTATGGAAATTTTTCTTGGATTTTGGCCCTATCCAGCAGCACATCGGTTACAGATTCTTCTTGTTTGCTGACATATTCTAAAGCAAATAACACGGCGGCTACATGTGTACAGGCCTCTCCTAAACCAGCAACACAATCGCAATGAGAATTTAAAATATCTCCATTGCTTGACAGAGAGAGCCATATATTTAGGCTTGGGCTGTTAATTTTTTGTAAGTGCATCACCTGCAATTTTACTTGCTTAGTAAGTATTAATTATATGTGTCTAATCTTACCTTGCCAATAACACAAAATGAATTATTAATTTTAAGAGCTTTTATGTCTTCTATCCACTTGGACGCAAATTGTGTGAAAGCATCTAAACTCTTATAAGCCCGGATTTCAGCTTGTGTGGCAGGACTGACTCTGAATATCAGAAAATTCGTAACTGCCTCTGATGTAATTCGTGGCAATTCATCTAGCGGCAAAATGAAATTTTTCAGTTCAATCGAATATGGGTCAATACCTCCGAATATTGCAGTATTCGCTGCATATCTCTGTTTTTCGTTATTGTCAAGTAAACGAGCATAAGCACTCAGATTGCCGAACATGATCGCAATAAATAAGAAACTCGCCATATACAATAACACAAAACATGACCCCGATCAGCTGTTCAGTGACAAATGACATACGTCAATCGTGATGGACTTGGAAATGCCTAATTAGTGAGATAAATTAGTAGTTTTAATTACACTTTATACTTTTTAGTTTACGATCATTCACAATGTCTAAAAACTACAATTAAAATTAATAAAATATCCTAGCAACAGCTTGCGTGAGTCAGTTGTATCCATAGAGAAAGCCTAAAGGTGCGTATACATATAGCGAGCACAACGCGAGCCGAGCACGAGCCGAGCCTGCCACAAGCTCAATTCGTCATATTATGTGTACTCCTCCCGCGAGCGCATCGCGAGCCGCTCACAGTGTGATCGTTGCAATCCACTTCTTGTCGGTTTTTGCGACGAACACAAAGGAGCCCCTCGTTATAATTTAGACGGCGCCGGGCGCCGGCGTTGTGGCATATTCGTCGTTCTGGTCTGACCGGCGAGCATGGAGGCTACATGGTCGGAGGATATTTTGCTTGAATTAATTGAGTTGTATAGGACGCATACTATTTTGTTGGACCCCAAAGACAAACATTATTTTAAAAAACCAAAAAAAATAAATGCCTGGAAGAAAATCGCCACTTTAATAGGCAAACCTGAAGAAATATGCAAGAAAAAAGTTATAAGCATGATGGCAACTTATAGAAGAGAGAGGAAAAAGGAAAAAGAGTCAGTAGGAACAGGAAAAGGTGAGCTTTGCAAAAGACGTATGTTTATTTATAGAATGACATTTATTCAACTCGAGGGGTGTCTCACTTGGGTAAAAAATGTACATGTACTGCCAAAATATCGTGTTACTCGCAAGCGACTGCCAATGACTGCGAAGAGGACTGCCTATGACTGCCATGTAATTATTATAGGCGACTGCCGTAAAACTGCCATTGATTGCCAGCGACTGCCAAGAAAATGTACATGTAATTCCAATAGTGAGACACCCCTCGATTCAACTAATATCTGAAAAACATATTACTACAAAAAGTCTGAGTACACCCCTTTTTTTTGTAGCAACTTTTCTTTACCATTATTAAAAAAACTAATGGTACATTTAAAATCTTCAATACGTTTCTCAGTTGACGCGGGTTTGCAATTTTTCTCAAAACATTTTATAGCCCCTTTTTTTCATGTTTAAAAAAAAGCTGAAAATTTGTGTGGTTTTAGGTAAACATTGTTACTATTCGAATGAGGGCAGAAATTATGCACCTCTTGAAAATTACACAACGATTGAACAAAGAATAATCTAAATATACAATTTTAAATCTTTTAAATTTGCTGAAAATAATAACATTTTTAAGATTTTTGCAAAAAATTGATTATTTTTGCCAAATTGAAAAGTTTATATCTGGACTATTTTTTGTTCAATCCTTGTGTAATTTTTAGGAGGTATATAATTTTTGCCTCTCTTTTGAATGCTACCAACCATTTTTATCTTTTTTTCCATATTTAACAAACCACTAAAAAAAAATGTTTTTCAGCTTTTTTAAACATGAAAAAAGAGGCTATAAAATTTGCTTGAAAAAAAGGGGTGTACGGACACTTTTTGTACTGACTGTAGGTCCAGGGTACATTACATATTATTTACATAATATTCGTTTGTACTTTCAATAACATATAATTTAATAATTTAATATTATTTAATTTCTCTTGACGGAAGATAATCAAAGGCCAAAATGACACTTCTCTCAAATATTGTAGTATAATTTGTGGAAAAATTAAAAGTTTGATAACTTTATACTTTGTACAGGATCCGGCTGCACGATTATTAGGCTCATCGTATTTTTAATCAAAATCTAATTTTTACATATATTTATGAATAGGAGAATACACTTTTCACAGAGTGCAAAACATGGCGCAAATAGGGGTTGCCACGGTTCAAAGTTTTTCCTACGGGCCCGGCAAAAGTGCGTCGGTTAAAACTGTTAAAAATTTTCAAATACTTTTAATATTAAAAATGTTCATTTTTTAATTCTCCATCTAACAAATGACTAATATACAGGGTGTTTCATTAAAAAAATCATCCCGATTTACTCATACTTTTTTGACCCACCCTGTAGAAGTTAAAATATTTTCCTGAAATACATCCTAGTGTATACTTTAGTTTCGCACTTATACAAAAATCCATGATAACAGTCTAACCAAAAAGTTTTTTATAACGTTATTTTTATTACTTATACAAAATTCCTAAGTTTTTTTATTACATCTGTGGAGGCTATAGGAGCTACATATGACCGACGCACTGTTTCCGAGCCCGCAGGAAAAACTTTTAAGCGTGGCAACCCCTATTTGCAGCAAGTTGTTCATAGGCACCCTGTGAAAAGTGTATTCTCCTTACTATAACAACAAACTTACAACAAACGGCAACGTTGGGTATGCGAGTTGACTAGTGGGACGTAGAATCTAGTAATACTATTTATAAAAACTTATAACCGTTAAAACTTGTGAAATACTTTAAATACGAAAAATATTTATTTTTAATTCTCGATCTAACAAAGGAATAATATACAGGGTGTTCTGTTATACAGCTGAAAAAAACGAAGAAAAATGATTTTATATTTTAGAAAATTTGGCATAGGATTTTGAACCCCCTGTATAGTTTAAGATTGCGATATTTATATCAAAGCAAGTACAAACCAACAATAGTAAATATTTAGTATATTTTGGATTTCAGAACATTTCTTGTATTTTAAATATTTTTTTTAAAAAAGGCTGTATTCACTTTTTTATTTTTTTTTAAATATCTCTGGAACTATCGAACTATATTTAATATGATCTTAGAATTAAGTAAAGTGATCAGAAAGGAAGACAAAAACGCAATAATATACAGGGCTAATGAGAGGCTAATATACAAGTATTTTTCTATGTTTTATTTAAAAAAAAGTCATCCCGATCCACATACACTTGTGTTTTTGAAACTTCAAAAACACAAAACACACATCAAATACATTCCTCCATTCACCTAATGATGGAAAAATCGAGGGAAAATTAACTGTAGACCCAGAGCACAGTTTATAGTTAATATTTGGTGTCCAGAGTCCAGAGAGTCACTAATAGCCACCAATAACGTTTGTATCTACTATCTCGTATATGGTACTTAAAACTGGAGTAACGGTAAAATAACGACACGATAGGTAAATAATAGATTTAAGTACTCTGCAGGAGATAATGTGAAAAGGTATTGGTTAAAAAAAATTAAAGTTAGTTAATCAACTTTTGGGGTATAAAATTCAGTATGTGTTATTATTAATAAAATATCTTGTTTTATTTATGATGCGTTTTATTTATTTCGGCACAATATTAAAAAATAGTAAATTATATTATTAGGAGTAAAAATGATACTCGGCTGTAGTTAAACATACAGCCTCTCCACAAAAAGCTATTTTTACTCTGAATAGAACATGCTATTTTTTCAAACGCTACAAATAAGTTTTTAAACAAATTCAAACGTTCCAAATAATATAAAAATATTTAAAAGTAATACCTAGTAAGTAATTATATAGGGAGGCTCTTAAATAAGTGCAAATATTTTTAGGGGTAGTATATCTCGACCCCAGAAAGACGTCTAGGTGGTATTTTCGCAACTTTTTTTTTGAAAATTTGGAATTTTTTCAAAAAAAAATTGGAAATGTTTTTAATGTTCAATTAAAAAACATAATAACTTTATAATATGGCAACATAGGTAGTAGATTAAATTTACAAAAAAGATAACCTAGAAAAGATCCAGTGGTTCTCAAAATTTAAGCGAAAACTCAAATTTTTTTGAAATTTTTAAAAGTAAGTAAAATATCTCGGTTATTTTGGACTACATGAAAAACGGTAAAGATAAAATATGTTTCTTTTATCGAGATCTGCCAGCCCTGACAATATCCAGAGGCAATATCTTAGATCTTATAAACTTCGTGGATAAAGCTATGCCATATATATATTACACATGACTTTGTTTACGGGACTTTCACATGCATTTTTCTATTTATTTCTTTCTAGGGCAAGATTATCGTATAAATATATCCTTCTCTCTGCGTACGCTACTGAGCATGCGCAGAACGATATTAGACGTAAATGCTAACTTGGAGCGTTTTTTCGCTGCGTTGACAATTACTAAAAATATAGACCACTAAAATTTTTCAATCAAGATATAACTGATACGTGTATTTATTATTTTGAAAATATTTGTCATATTATTTCCAATATACTTTTTATATATATTTTAAACAAAAATTAAATCATATAACGATAAATTCTTTTTTAAAAATGTTTTAAAATACTACTTTGAAAAATAGCTATGATGAATGGGCAACACATAGAAATCAGTAACCAGGGAAACGTTAAAATATGTTTTGACATTGAAAAGTCTTTAGTCGTTCCAATTGTACTAACTTATTTCCCTGTAAAATAAAACAAACTACTTTTACGTATTTATTTAACTAATTTAACTTTTCAATTAAAATCAGAGACACATCTATTAGTGTCAATGATTTTGTAGTTGGACAGACTATACCTATATATCTGATGCCTCCAAAATTTGAGTCGCACCCAAACAACACCTTCCTCTACCTCCGAGCAGGCCGAATTTGCGCCACTCCTTGAAGGGTCCAGGTCGGGCGCCTCTGTTTCCGTCGTCGCCGCGACGCTCGTCAGTTCCGTCTCGACGGCCGCGCGACTCGTGGCATGCGGCGCCGCTCCCATCGCCACTGCTCCTGCCGCCCGAACAACACGACGTGATGATGGGGGACGGCCACCCGAACGTCACCACCGACACCATCCGCTGCACCGACGGCCTGGTCCTGCCCTGTTGGCAGCCCCTCGACGACGTCGCATTAGTAGACAAAATCGGCCGAGGACTTGTTTACTTCTTCTTCATGGCTTTCCTCTTTATCGGAGTTTCCATAGTATCAGATCGTTTTATGGCTGCTATCGAAGTGATCACCTCGCAGGAACGGGAGGTATCTATTCGGAAACCCAACGGCGAGAAGCACATCATCGTGGTGAGACTTTGGAACGAAACCGTAGCTAACTTAACTTTGATGGCGTTAGGTTCAAGCGCTCCGGAAATTCTTCTATCGGTCATCGAAATCTACGCGCGTAACTTCACTGCTGGAGAACTGGGACCTGGTACTATCGTTGGTTCCGCTGCTTATAATCTCCTGGTTATCATCGCAATTTGCGTGTCAGTTATTCCCAAAGGCGAGGTGCGAAGAATCAAACATTTAGGAGTATTTTTTGTCACGGCTACGTGGTCGGTGTTCGCATACGTCTGGCTCTATCTCATCCTGTGCTTTTTCTCACCGGGAGAAGTCGAAATATGGGAAGGCTTAGTAACGTTCTCCTTCTTTCCAGCCACAGTAATCACCGCTTATGCAGCCGATCGAAAGATTCATAAATATATGAAGAAAGATTATCGGATGAACCGTCGTGGCGTCATAGTTCAAGCCGAAGGTGCTGACAACTTGGAAATGGTAAACACCGAGCTCTTAGTCTTAGATGACGTCCACGAAGATATCAAGCAAGAATATATAACAACCTTAAAAGAACTCCGACAACAGCACCCTCATACCGACATCGACGTCTTGGAAAAGATGGCCCACGAAATTCTTCTAAATAAAGGACCCAAATCCAGGGCCTTTTACCGTATCCAAGCAACTAGAAAATTAATGGGTAGCGGAGATTTAATGAGAAGGATCTCTGAACGGGCTCAGAGCGACTTAAGTGAGGTAAAAGCCGAGCTTCAGAGAGAAAGCGGTGTGACCGAGTTCTCACAAAGCGGAGCTAAAGTATTCTTCGACCCTTCAAAGTATACCGTGCTGGAAAGCTGCGGTCATTTCGAGGTCACGGTCGTTAGAACCGGCAACATCGACATTCCGGTAGTCGTGGAGTACGGGACCGAGGATGGTACTGCGCAAGCTGGAAGTGATTACGTCAAGGCCAAGGGTACGTTGCATTTCCAGGCGGGCGAAAAGGAGAAGCGCATTACATTGGAAGTGATAGATGATGACGTGTTTGAACCTGACGAACATTTCTACGTTAGACTGTGCTCGGCTCAGCCACCGGGCAGCTTGGGCTCGCCGGTACTTGCTACAGTTATCATTCTAGATGACGACCACGGCGGTCTGTTCAAGTTCGAGTCGCAGAACCACGAGCTGGTGGAGAGTGTGGGAACGTATGAGTTGAAAGTGGTCCGGTGTTCGGGAGCTAGAGGGCGTGTTATTTTGCCATTTCGCACTGAAGATGGTACTGGCAAGGCGGGAAAAGAATACGAGGAGCAGGAGGGAGAGATTATTTTTGAAAATAACGAATCAGAGTAAGTATTCATTGCATTAATAAAATATTTTTTTCGATGATGTTATCCAATTAAATACCTTTGCAAATATTAAACTAAGATTTTAAATACAAAGTACCAAATATTTCAAATACCGTCTCTAATCATATTGGAATTAAACACAAGAAATTGTGAAAAAAATCACCAGGTATGTACTTTCAAATGCTTTTTTAACTTCGGACTTCAAAAGAGTTGGTTGTACCCACTTATATATCATGGGAATAAAATGGACATAAGTGAAGACGATAGATAATTCTATAGCCAAAATGCATCGGACTACCACCTTCTTCTCTATGGTTGTCTAGCAGAGTTGGTCAAAACGTTTCTACCAAAGAAAAATTTAACGCCAATTGAGCTAAAACAATAAAGCATATCATTAAAAAAATAATCGATTTTACCTTGATGATGATGTTTTTAGATGTTGGATTTACCATAACAGGTGATTACAGTTGGGGGTTGGAGCCTTTGGTGTTACCACAGCAAAATACATAAAACATAAACCATAATACACCAACACACACTTTACTTTTGCACTCGGCGCGTGTTTCGCTAACCATGTTAGCAGATGATTAATACAGCCTTGATCATTTGCTGATGACGCTAACTTGGTTAGCGAAACGAGTGTCTAATGCAAAAGTAAAGTGGTTTGGTGTACTGTGGTGAATTAATGTTGTATTTTGGTTCATAACAGATGAAATTAAATAAAACTAAAACCTTTATCCTAGTCAAAACAAGAACTTCTGAAAACTAAACAAATTCTGAAATTTATAATATCTCAAGTAATCACAAAAATACATTTTCGTCAGAAATATCCAAAACAATATTTTCAGTCTGTTAATTATTGTGCCTTTGAATTGTGAATTTTACGAATAGGTACAAGTTGATTAGAGGAAGGGGATGATAGAATACAGTTGACTTACAAATGACGATCAATGACATTCCCCATATAACTTTATATATAAAATGAAAGCGATCTTCATTTCATAGCCATCGCTGACACATTTTTTTCGATCATATTGTATTATTTATTCAACAAAATTTGAAATTAAGGTTTAATCTTTCTCCTGAGTATTTGTGTGGAAATTATAATGTTTTTAGAAACGATTTCCTTAAATGTAAACTTTAATTATTTTTTCATGATTTTCTTTATTTATAACAAGCTTCAAAATTGTTTGGTTTTTAACTAAACATCCTGTTTTAAAAAAAGTCTAGGACTTTGTCTTTTCATGTTCCTGCTTTATTAAAATAAAAAGCATTAGTGTGTTAACGAATAATATAGTAAACTATTTTTATAATATGATATCTGAAACAATTTTATATTTTTCATTTTTCGACGAGTATCGTCGTATAAGTATAGGCAAATTAAAACAACTTTGAGTGCACGTCATCAATGACACCATGCGTCGTCTTATGGAGTTTGCTGGTTATATGTTGCTGTGATAATGTTAATGTAAAATTAAAATCGCGGTACTCTGTATCCATATTCGGTTTTTTGAAAAAAGAGACACTGATAGGGAGATTAGTGAGGATATGAAAAATAAACATTTTAACACAAAATTAACTAAACAAATTCTTATCTTCGGAAAATTTTACTTTATTTATAAGAATCAACGCCTGTATAACCTGGATTACAGGATATATCCAGACACGGTTTGAAATTATGTAGGTATTTATTTACGCATCGATGGGTTTTCTATTACATGTTTTCGCGCTTTAACCACAAATATTAACCAGGTTTCTAATAGGATGTTTATTGCCCTTGCCGATCTAGAGATATCATCGGTTGCAAGCAGGAAATTTTCATCGTGTGGGCATCGCGACTGCTGATAATAAGCGGATCGTCCTAATAAGCATGTAGTCGCAGGAGACACACAGCTCTAATTACCTCATTAAGTTAATTGAATTATGCTAGAAGCGTCGTTAAAAATTGGCTGGTGACATAGTTATATTGAGTCTCTGTTATAATTGGGTAAATATGTGGAATAAGTTGGTTCAATAATTCGAATATTGTTAAGCATGGAAACTTAATAATATACCGGGTGATGCATTGTCGTTGGAACCATAGGAAATCGCGTGCAAATTTTTAACTGTCCAGATATTGTTTCCATTGTTAATTTTACAGCGAAGTCGTAAATAGATTATTTGAATATACATGCCAAATTTTAACAATTTTGGACAAGCCAATTTTAAGTAATTTATGAAAAACTGCTATTTTTAATAGGTAACAATGCCAAACCAGGCAATAAAATTAACTTAAAAACTATTTTAAGTTTTAATCATCTGCTGATAATGCTAACATGGCTAACGAAACGCGCGTCCAGTGTTAGAAGTAAAACGGTTTGGTGTATTGTGGTTTTTATTTTGCTGTTGTGTTTTACAACAAATATTCCAACCTTAACTGTAATGACAGAGAACACGACTTTTTTAAAAAAGCATCAATCTCAAATAAATTGTTTATTATCTTCTACTTTGCGAATTCCATTTTTCACATTATATTGAAAATGCACTGAAATGCTATTTTGTATGATAGATTTGGTATGTTAGTATATATATGACATAAATTAGGATGTATTGATGTATTCAATTTTTGTTTCCAGTTGGCTCCTCAAGGATTCTTTATTAAAAATTACTGTTTGTAACACAGTCATGGCACTCTACATTGAACGCATTTTTTTAAACGAAAATGACAAAAGTTGACATATGACATGTCATGCATGCTATTCAGAGTGTCATTTTCTATCGAATAATGTAGAAATTTTTGTTTTTTATGTTCTTTGACCTTTAAAATTATATTTTTATATATGCTTTTTCTTGGTCTTAGGTCAATAAATAATTTTCCTTTTATTTCATTAAGCACATTTTTTTTATACACCGTCTAACGTTTCGACCATTTTTTTGGCCTTCATCAGAGTCTACAATTATTACATTAAACAAATTTTAAAAAATCATTAAAAATACAATAAAAATATTTTTGATTTACTTACACAAGAACGTAGATCATAGAAAGAAACTTTATAAAAAACAATCACGGAACACATTTAACAAACAGGACGGTTGCGAATTTTCAAACATATTTTTTAATTTTACTATACGACCAACGACCTACCTACAACAACTAATATTATATAGAAACATATAGTTTGCTCAGCCTATTTACATCTTCTTTGTCGTTTATTGATTTGGGATTTTTCTGTATTTCTACCATTTCGAGGAATTCTCTCTTTTTTGTCATAGATTCAGTTCTTAAAATTTTCGTCTGGCTGTAATTAAATGTATGTTTTTTACTATTTTCATGATTTGTCAGTGCAGTCTGGTTTATCATATTTGTGGTCCTTAATTCGATTTTCCAGATATTGACTAGTTTGGCCGATGTATACTGCATCACAATCATTGCATGGTATTTGATATACGATATTACTTTTTTTGTTTTTAGGCGTTTGCGTCAATATTTATCAAAAAAATAATAACGAAATGGTATTATAATGGGAAAAAAAACCCACCAATATATCCCACCAGAAAAAGCAGAACATTTAGTTATACGCAATGCTATAAAAAAATATACGGTTTACGAAAGCTTCACAAAGACAATGTTCCACTGAGACCTATTGTATCTTGCGTCCAGTCTCCCTATGAAAAACTTTCAAAATTTTTAAAAGGGATCTTAAATAATATAGCACATAAAAACAACTATTATATAAGAGATTCAAAAGATTTTAAAGAAAAAATTAAAAATATAGATATACCAATAGGATATAAATTAATTTCTTTAGATGTAATCTCATTATATACGAGCATTCCAATAAAACTAGCAACAGATGTAATTAAAAAGAAATGGAATCAAATAAAAAATCATACAAATATCCCAAAAAATGAATTTATAAACGCGTTGAACTAACATTAAATTCTATATATTTCTTATATTTTAACGACCTTTCTTATATTATACCAACAAATCGAGGGATGCGCTATGAGAGCATCAATATCAAGTATAATAGCTCAAATTGTAATGGAGGATTTGGAGGAGAGTATATTGGGTTACTTGAATTTTAAGGTGCCGTTCTTTTATAGATATGTTGATGACATTATAACTGCTATACCCGAAAATAAGATAAACAGTATAATAAATGAATTCAATAAATATCATGAAAATATTAAATTTACCTTAGAAACGGAGGAAAATTGAAAAATAAATGTCTTAGATGTCACCATACACCCTAATTCAAGAAAATTAAAAACGGAATGGCATACCAAAAATACATGGTCATCGCGATATTTAAATTTTTCATCCAATCACCCAATTTCGCAGAAAAAATCAGTAGTTATAGGTTTGGCAGATCGTGCTATACAATTATCCGATCCAGAATTTAGAAAAACAGCTATAAAAAAGCCAAAGATGCCTTAAAATTAAACAACTACCCCGAAAATTTAGTTAATAAAATATTTAAATCCAGAATACATAAATTTTACAACACAAACACTGCAAATGCAAATAAGAAGAAAAAAGACAATAAATTCATATCTGTTCCATACATAAAAGGGTTATCTCAACAACTACAAAAAACATTTAAAAAATACCAAATTAACATATGTCACCGTGGCTACAACCTGTTAAATAAAAATTTCAGTAAATTAAAAACGCAAACGCCTAAAAAACAAAAAAATTATATCGTATATCAAATACCATGCAATGATTGTGATGCAGTATACATCGGCTAAACTAGTCAATATCTGGAAAATTGAATTAAGGGCCACAGATATGATAAAAAAAACCAGACGGCACTGACAAATCATGAAAATAGTAAAAAAACATACATTTAATTACAGCCAGACGAAAATTTTAATAACCGAATCTGTGACAAAAAAGAGGGAATTCCTCGAAATGGTAGAAATACAGAAAAACGCCAAATCAATAAACGACAAAAAAGATGTAAATAGGCTGAGCAAACTATTTGTTTCTATTAATATTAGTTGTATGTAGGTCG